TCAATAGCATTTTTCAAAAAATTTGTGGACAGAATGAAGGAAAACCGCATGGATTCTAAGCAGAAGGTAAAACATGGTGGTTTCATGAGAGGTTCACAGTGTGATAACATGTTGGTCTGTGTACATGTGAACTGTGTGCTAACATTAGACAGAGAAGGCTAGATTTAGAGAGAAAGAATATTTATATTTTCTGGGGAGGAAAAGTTGGATTTTAAGAAAGTTGATTGATTATAAGGGAGGAATTAACCGTTAGCAATAGGAATGAAAACTAGTATACTGCTCATAAGGATTGAAATAAAGAAAAAAATTGACCTAGCACAAGGCCTGAACAAGATCAAGACTGTCAAAACTCCAGCATACATGGGAAAGGATCTCTCCAAACTCAGCCCTTTGCTGAGGAACAGTGGCAGTTGATAGCTGTGGAGGGAGGGTGTGGACACAGGTAGGTTTCCCATGAAGCATTTGATGGCCCCACAGCCATGCATGTGTAATTAGGACTAGTTGGACTCAGTGGGTAATTAAGGAGAGGGCATGGACTGTGGAGGAAGAAATGTTACACATGATATAGAAGGAATTGGATGGAGGAAACAGTGGGGTGGAGATGACCATGTCTGACTGTGTGCATGTATGAAATTCTCTAATAAGAAATAAAAATGATTAAAAAGGGGATTATTATTTTCCTCTCCTTCAACAACATTTTCAAAGAATAAAAGTGATTGTTTAAAATTCTCTCTATGTAATTGAGTGTAAAAGAGGTTGATGTGGAAGCTGGAGGGTTCCTGGTTTATCCACTCCTGCTTTTGTTCCTTGAGAACTCAAGCAATCCTAGCCACAGTTGTGAATTTAAGGGAACCATGTTCTCAGAAATGAGAGAATAAAGCTTCTGCACTCCTGATCGACCTGTGATTTCTGACCTTAACATTGAGTTTCCATTTTTGCAACTTTTCTTTCTGCTTCCAGCACCGAGTGGACTTTCTTCATCTGATGATGAATGCTCATAATAATTCCAAAGACAAAGAGTCTCATCAAGGTAAGCAAGCCCTTCCTGATCAATGGACATGGATGCTCTTGGGGAGTGAGTGGTTCACTCAGAAAATATGTAAGGAGGCTTTACTAGGTAGAGGGCAACCTCTGTTGAGTTCCTGAAAGACAGATGTGGCTATTATCAACATGGAATTTTCTGGATGCTCATGGCAAAAGTTGGCTCCTAAAATGAAGGGTGGCCATGATGAACATCTCCAGTTGTCTGTTTGTTACCTGGGTGAGCATAGGTGCTGTTTGTGTCTTTCCCAGCATGCAGCCTGCCTAGACATCGGTGTCTAAACATACTGTCATGGGGGATGTACCTAAATGGTGCTGAACTTCTATGGGATCCCCTGTTGTACATGTGCTCTCTAGCTTAATCCATGGCAAAGATTTACTTTTTCTTTGTGTAATATCTAAATAGCTTCTGGGGAAAGCCCCTTTGTACAAATGCAGTGGTCCTCTTCATTCTTGCTTTGCATTTAAAAAATCATTCAGGTCTGGGCAGAGAGGCAGGAGCAGGTGTATCTCTGTTAGTTCAAGGCCAGCCTGGTCTAAATCATAAATTCCTGGACAGACAGGGCTACACAGAGAAACTGTATCTCAAAAACCCATAAAAATAGCTGACAGATTTTTAATCTTCTTTTTGTAGTACAAGCATGTGCAGAAGTATGTACACATGTGCATACCCCTAAATGTGTGAACAGTTAACAGATGAAAACGCACAGTATCTTGTTCAATCCCTTTCTGCCTTGTTTCCTTGGAGACAGGGATTTATTTATTTATTTATTTGTTTATTTATTCATTTATTTGGGTTTTTCGAGACAGGGTTTCTCTGTATAGCCCTAGCTGTCCTGAAATCACTCTGTAGAATAAGCTGGCGTTGAACTCATAAATCCCCAGCCTCTGCCCCCCAAGTGCTGGGATTAAAGGTGTGTACTACCACTGTCAACTGTTTTTTTTTTATTTGTTAAACTTGAGGTTAGACTGGAAGCCAGGAGGTCCCAAAGATCAACAGAGTTGTGGTTACAGCGTTGTGCTGCCCCACCTGTGTATATTCTTTTAATTTTAATTTTAATTTAAAATCATTGTTACTATCATGTCTGCAAACTGATGCCATTCCAGTTCCAGACTTTGTTCTACACATGTGCATCAGTAGCTAATGGAAAGAGAGTCTTCCATTCTGACCTATTCTATTATCATGTAGCAGTATAATTCTGGGTCACCATGTTTACTTTAAAAAGTGATCGAATACTTTGTGTTTCAAGACTTTTCCTGTTTGCCGACTTGAAACCCTTTCATGTGATCAGATAACTTCAAGTTCTTCTATACTCACTCCTCCGTTTGTCACATGGTCCATATCGCCCATCCTGACCCATATTCACAATGTGCTTGTGAATGACCTTTAATTCCTGAGACTAAAGACATGTGCTACCATGCAGCATTGCTTTAGCAGAACTATTTTATCTGGCACAAATGTGGAGTGGTGTCATTTCAGCTTTCAAGTAGTCCTTTGTCAGTGATTGTTATGTGAGATTTTATGGTGTTCTTTGGAAACATTCTCAGAGCCTGTGCTTAACTTAGTGTGAAGGCAAGCCTGGCAAACATGGCAGTCTCCTATGGCTGAGAACTGCTTAGGTGATGGGTCTTTCAAGACTAGCCCTCTATCAGATAAGACATTTTGGGTTTGTGGAAATTGACTTGCTAAACTTGCCTTTTGTGTAACAATAAAAAGAGCTTCTGGGAAGCTGTCAGTGTCCAGTTCTTGAGGGGCTGATTCTCCCTGCTACTGAGAAGCAGAATTCTCCATGACTGGCTTTCTTCTCTCCAGTCAATCTTCCAGTGTAATCTGGAACACAAACCTAACCCTGGTGTATAGAGTGCTGGGGACTGAACCCAGGGCTTCCTAAATACCATGGAAGCAGCCCATCTCCTGAAGTGCATATCCTCAGGCCTTGTCTTTCATTTTTGATTGCTACAATAAATATTATTTTTAAAAATCGACATTGATTGTGGACTTATTGTCCAGTTTCAGTTTAGTAGCAAGGACTTACAGGAATTCGGAGAAAGAATTTACCATAATTTAACATAATCACATCATTCATGGTAGATGTACAGCTAACTGTAACGTTAGCTCTATGGGCTTTAATGACATTTTCTGGCTTCTACAGGAAGTTAGACAAGCACACATAAATAAATAAAATTTAAAAACCCACTTTAATCTATATCGGGGACCTTCTGTAACTCCTTCTCTAAGGGATTAGATGCTCTCTTCTCAGCTCCATGGGCACCCTCCTCAAACACATGGCACCCCCACACATACAGAAATACTGATAAATAAAAATAAAATTTACAAAAAAAGAAAGTCCATGTCTTGAAACTGCCCACTGGGGATGATAAGAAACAGCATTAACATAGGGACAACCTGCCTGAAACGTTCTCCCTTTTTGCACGTGTCACGAAGTTGTCACGGTGACGATAGTCTTAGTGTGACTGAATGGCACTTCCATAGTCTCTCTAGGAACATGGAGGCTCATTTATTTTCTCCTCATGCCCTCTGTGATGGTCTATCCTGACATGGCTTATCTGAGATTTTTTTTTTTTTTTACTTCCAGCCCTGTCTGACACGGAGATCACAGCCCAGTCAGTAATCTTTATTTTTGCTGGCTATGAAACCACCAGCATCACGCTTTCCTTCGTCCTGCATTCCCTGGCCACTCACCCTGATATCCAGAAGAAACTGCAGGAGGAGATCGACAGGGCTCTGCCCAATAAGGTGAGTGGATGGTATAGGAAGGAAAAGGAGAAGCCTCAACAAAGACACCTTGTTACCTGCAATATTGTGTGTGTATATGTGTGTGTATGTGTATGTGTGTGAGTGAGAGAGAGAGAGAGCAAGAGAGCAAGAGAGAGACAGAGAAAGTGAGTAAAAGTTAGTGTATGTATGTTGTATATGTGGTGTGTATATATTTTTGTGTATTCACACCACTGAACCATCTTTCTAATTCTGGTGATTATTTTTACATTTTTGTGTGTATGTATGTATGTATGTATGTATGTACATACACATATATGTACTTATGTATGTATATGAGTATATATGTACGTGGGCATGTGTGCTATGTGTGTAGGTCAAAGGGCAACCTGAAGGAAGTTCTTCTCTCTTTCAACTACATGTGTTTTAAGGGTCCAAATCATGTCAGTAGGCTTAGTGGTAGGTGCTTTGCTCACTGAGCCATTTGAGCAGCCCTTGATAATTTGTAACAAGAATACAAGCATCAGTTATTCCCAGGACCATTTTGAAATTATAAAAGTGCCACAGAAGAAAAAATTTACAATAACTCCTCTCATGGCAACAGAAGGTTGTTGTGATGAAGTGTGAGGCTTGGTGTGTCTATTATCTCGGACCACAAGAGTACCAAGCAAGCAACATGTACACAACCTGTGTGATGTTAAAGATATGCGCTTTACATACAGCTCTCTTCATGGTTCAATGATACTACTGGCTCTGCTGTGTCCCAGCTGTGCATTAAGATAGGCTTTCCTTGGCCTTGATTGTGCTAACTCAGCTCTGTGCCATAATTCCTCCTATCTATTCATAGTTATAGGAGAAGAAGCCAAGATGTGAGACTTTGTGTCTAAATCATGAGCCAAACTACCGCCCTCTCTCTCAGTGTGTGTGTGTGTATGTATGTATGTATATATGTAAATTTGTGCACACATGTATGTGTGTGTATATATGTGTGTATGTATGTATATATGTAAATTTGTGCACACATATATGTGTGGGTGTATAGGCCACAGATCTACATAATGTATATTTCTAAATCACTCAACTCCATGTTTTGTGATACAGGCTCTCTTACCAAACCTGGAGCTTATCAATTGGGTTAGGTTGTCTAGCCAATGAGCACCACAAAAGTCCTGTCTATGTCTACCTACTGCTGGGATTATAGATGGGTGCCACTATGTCAGGCTTTATAATGATTTGTATCTGAGCTCTTATCCTCAGGCTTCATAGTAGACCCTTCTTTAATTGAGCATTTTTCAGGCACTAAGTGATAGTTATTCTGCTTTATAAGGAGCTTGAGAGATGGCACAATTGTTAAGAACACTGCCTACTCTTCTGTAGGGTCCATCCATATTTGAGTCCCAGCATGATAATGGCAGCTCTCAACTGCTCTGAATCTAGTTACAGGAAATCTGATGGCCTTTTTTGGATTTTGTTGGCACTGTACTCATATGGTGTACTCAAACATACATAAGCACAATATCTACATATATGAAATAAAACAGCTAAAAAACCCGTTTAAAATGTATTGTAAATACTAACTAAGGTCCTTTGAGCTGCTGAGCTTGACTTTGGGCCTACTGAGAATTCAATACTAGATACAATTGAATATCAATCTAAAATCTCAGCACAAATCTTTTTCTTTCTTCTTAGGCACCAGCCAACTATGATATAGTGATGGAAATGGAGTACCTGGATATGGTCCTGAGTGAAACCCTCAGACTATACCCAATTGGTAATAGACTTGAGAGAGTCTGTAAAAAGGATGTTGAAATTGATGGTGTGTTTATGCCCAAAGGGTCAATAGTGATGATTCCTTCTTTTGCTCTTCACCATGACCCACAGCACTGGCCAGAGCCTGAGGAATTCTGCCCTGAAAGGTACCAGAACAGGAACCCACTCTGCACTCTGCAGGCTTGTATATGCTTTGATGTCTGTTATAGAAAGATGATCTAAGTATGGTTTGCATCCATTTCTATTCTGTGAGGTGAATGGCAGAGTAAGGGAAGAAAAGAGAGGAGAGGGGAAGTCAAATGAGAACAAGGTATGAGCATTTAAATATAGAGTGTTTTCTTCCTTCTTCCTCAAGTAGTTGTTGCCTCACTTAAGTGTGGGGTTGGAACCCAGTTTTAATGCATTTCAAATGAAATGTGCTTCTTAGAGATAGACAGAACATTATCCTGAATGGATTTTTAGTGTTTCAAGATGTAGTTCCTTTCTTGTTCCTTTTATTTTTTTTGACAGTCACAGGAATGGATAATGAATTCTGGTCATTTTGACCTCACATTGCCATGTCTCTTTTCCCTTCCACTTATGTGGAATCCCTGTTTATCTTCAACCAGTCTTCTTCATGTTTTTATTTGTTTCTGGATTTTTCTTTTTCGTGACTTGTGAGTTTACTTAGAGTTGCTTGCAGAAGCCTAAATGCAGGAGTTAAATACTGGTAAATGTCCACTGTCCAGTGGCTGCATTATTGAAGAGAAACATCTCTCTTCTCCAAAACATCTCCTTAAGGAGGTGGCATCTCATGGGCACCTTCCCCATCCATGATGGAATGATGATGTGTTTGGTCTTGTGTAGGTGTCCACAGACGCTATGAGTTCGTGAGTGCAGTGGCCATGTCATGCCCAGAAGTTAGTACTGACAGCACCCATTTCATTCACTGGCTCTTACATTCTTTCTGTCCTTTCTTCTGTGATGTTTCCTGAGCTTTGGATGGGCTGAGAACTTCAACAGTGATTATTTTCAACACACTATGATCAGTCACGAGCTCCTGTGTCAAATGTCTCCCATTGCAAACTGAAACTTTTCTGTGCAAGGGTGAGATCAATACTAAAATTTGTGTGTAGAGATAAATATTTAGAAGACATTTTGATTCCATGTTCACTTAGCAAAACAACAGCAGTACACTGTCATCTAGTGCCTATAATGTCTGTAGCCATGAGATTTTGACCAGATTTAGAGTACCAGGCAATACTTTCCACTGTGATTTGAACCTCCAATCCAATCAGAAAATGATTGGTTCCCCCTACTGCATAACATCACTATTACACTAGTGTGTTCCTATGCAAGGATGTATTTTTAAAAAGATTATACACACACACACACACACACACACACACAAACACACACACTAGCTGTTTTTAGACACACCAGAAGAGGGCATCAGTTCCCATTACAACCATGTGGTTGCTGGGAATTGAACTCAGGACATTGGGAAGGCAGTCCTCTTAACCTCTGAGCCATCTCTCCAGTTGAAGGAAGTATTTTTTTAAAAGAACAGGATTTATCATATCTCTATCATATAGAGACTCTTATAAGGGAAGTGCAATGAAAAGGACCTTAATGTAAACTTCTCAGACCCAAATACTTGTAAGCAGAAGTTCATTGAACTTTTTCCAAACTACCTGTGTGTACTGGTTAGATGTCAAAAGGCAACTTCACATGTGTAGTTCTCATGCTTTCATTATTTGTTAACATGCTATCTACTATTATGTCTCCAGGTTCAGCAAGGAGAACAAGGGCAGCATTGATCCATATATATACCTGCCCTTTGGAAACGGACCCAGAAACTGCATTGGCATGAGGTTTGCTCTCATGAATATGAAACTTGCTCTCACTAAAATTCTGCAGAACTTCTCCTTCCAGCCGTGTAAAGAAACACAGGTGATGGAGAAAAATATCTCTGTAAATAGTGTTTTATGGGAGGCATTTTTCCAAGTGAAGGTTCTATGTATAAAAATCATTATGTATATTTGAGTTTTAATAATTTGTTCTCTGACCAAATGAGCTATGTGTATCTAGGTATTAACTAATGGGCCTTTTGTTCTATATCTGTATAAAATAGAACTTAATATTATGAGAAGTCAGTGTAGGCCAGTGTGACAGGTTTCCATGCATTCTGTTTGAAATTCTAGTCATGTCCATTTGAGATTGGGTATGTCATGTGCCATCCAGACGTGCCATGGTCATGTCTTCAGTGTTTGTTGTGTGTTGACCTCTTCTCCCAGAGATCACAGAAGCCCTCTTCTCACAGTCTTTTTAACCAGTGATGTACATTAGAATTACAGAGTAACTTTAAAACTCATACATGGGTCTGGGATGTCTCTCAGATGGCAAAATGTTTACCTGTTTTGCACAAATCTCTAGTTATAATCCCCAGAACTACATAAATATGCTGTGATGGTACATACTTATACTTACTACACTCAGGAATTAGAGGATTGAGTATCATAAATAATTCTTATCTACTTAGCGAATTTGAAGCCAACATGGTCTATGTTTCTCAAGGAGAAGCCAGAAACTCAAGATGTCTGGTCTTTTTTGAAATCCTAATACAACTCACTCAGAGTGTGGCTTTAGAAGCTCATCTCTGAGACAGAGAAAGATGTGTTTAGTTTTCATCTGTTTCTTAAGGCAGTTGTATAACTTTATCTACACATACCTTTAGTTAAAGTATTCCTTTTCACTAAAGCATTTAAATTATGTACAAGGATTTAGACAGGTAAAGCAAGGTTCTAGTTTTGAGACCTAATGGCCTACCTGGCATGAGGCAGATGCTCTTTCTAGCTCCAGTCATTTTAAAATGGACACTTCTTTGTCTCCATAACTTTGTTCCCCTTCCTTTTCACTTGAGTAGAAGATTTTTTCCATTGGATGCTTTCCCCACTCATCATTGAAAGGCATCAGGCTAAATCATTTTCAAAGAATCTTGTAGAATTAGAGATTCCCATTCATCCAATCCTTGGAAGCCAAGAATAGATTCTAAAAAAGCAAGCAAAATATTTGTCCTACAGAGAAGACTTGCTCTGAATATGCTGAGGTGTAGTAGTGAGATATGATCTGGAAATTAATAGAGTTAAAATGTAAACTTTCATGATTATCTTGTAAAACCAAACATAACTTTTCATGACTTAAAAAATAATATAACATAAACACTAAGAATAAGGTTAAAAATGTTAAACTTTCTGTTTTACTCTAAATCTGCACAGAACATAAATAGTATAAACCAGCATGAGTTTGTCTCAGGCCTTGACTACAATAGATTCTCAATCACCATTTTACATAATGTACATTTAGATGCAAGCTCTCAACATCTAATTGACACAGCTTTTAGAATAATGGAGAATTAATGTCACATTATATGATATTAAATGCAGCTTTTTGGTTCTGCAAAGCATTATTATCCTAAATACTTTTTATTAAACTTTTCTTCTGGGGATCTTGTTGGTTTACTCATTGCTTTTCAACATTTTTCTTCCCCTGCTGCAGATACCTGTGAAATTAAGCAGAGAAGGACTTCTTCAACCAGCAAAACCCATTGTTCTAAAGGTTGTGCCAAGAGATGCAGTCATAACTGGAGCATGACGTTCCCTCAAGGAGTTCTATTGGATTCTTCAGAAAGTACATTGAACCCTTTAATTTATCTCATAAATGAATTCAAGATAAAATGGTTCTTAATTGACTGCCTTGACTTGTGGTTACAGATTCATTGCATCCATTGATCTTTCTCCATGTCTACCCAAATTACAATCTAATATAAAGGAGATGACAAGTCAGTGACAGAACAGAAAATTCACCTTCACTTCTTGTGGGACCATCTCCATCCACATTTGAATGTCTCTGTTAATTTCTTTTGATGATAACCATGTATCTGTAATTTGATCAATAATTTTTTGAAAAAAAGGTGAACTATTGTGACATCTCTAATTGTAGAATTGGTATCAGATGTTTTAGTTGCAATATTCTACACTAAAAGTCTTGTCCCTGTCTCCTTTCCCAACCATTGGCTGTTGACAACTTTATTTGCCAATGAAAGCCAACTGGGGGCAGGTTTCCTTTAACCTATATGTGGGACTCTGCAAACAGGTTTTGAGGTAATATTATTAGCATAAGAACACAAGCTGCTACATTCTCCCTATTTTGTTCACTAAAGGCCTTTTCTTTCAGATATACACAGAACATAACTATAACAGTTATGTAAACTATGAGGTATGATATACAGTAATAACATCCAGTCTATCAAGCTTGTCAATGTGGGTACATTGTTCTAACATCTATCTTACATTAAAGATATTACAATTCTATAAGTGAATTCTGTTCTGATTTTCCTTGCAGCATCATCTGAAAACCATCCTTTCAAAACTACATCATCTTTCCTAATGTTAAACAATTTAAGTTTGAATATGAGACTATACCTAGTCTTCAACCCCATCAGAAATCAGAGAATGAATTAAATTTAACCTGAATATATAGGAAGCACAAAAACATAGCTTTCAAAACTTAACTAAATTATAGACACAGATGACTACTTGGACAGTCCCCTATACCGCAAAACATTGAATCATCTGTCTTCAGCCTTCTGGCCAGTATCATCTAATGGACTTTCAGTGAAGCAGAAGCTATAAAAGACTAGCTTACTCTATCTTGGAAGAGCTAAGGTGCTGACTATCCAGCCCTTTCATCCTTTTCTGGAAAGTATTCTTTACCTTCAGATGAATTAGGGTAATTCTTGCCTAGTGGCTACCTTGGCACAATAAGAAACTCTGCCTGGAGTAAACAATGCTCAATATCTTCTTTAAACTGTGATGTGATACTGTGAGGAGCAGACATGACTTATAGTCAAATGATCTTTAACAATGATCTAAATATTTAATATATAAATTTAATAATCTGTCATATCCTGTGGATTTCTGTTGTTTTTGAAGACTATCTATCTATATAAAGTGTATAAGAACTGTTAATCCTTGACTATTCTTAGCTATTTCTACTTGAATAATATTGAAAACACTTTATTATAATTAAATTAGAATCTAATATAGTTATGAGTTTACTCTCTGATCCTCAACTTGCCTTATTTAATCATCTTAAACAATTTGTAATAGTAGCTGGAAGGACTGTGTGGGTCAAAGCCTTTTGTTTTCACAAGTTGCATAGACACAATGCCTTTCTTAGAGTAACAATATTAATTCAGATTTTATATCAATATACAAAGATTTACACCAATGAAAACCTTAAATCTTTATCCATATATAAATTCTGTACCAACGTAAGAAATGATAACTTCAATTTGCATCAGTTATAAAGAGTTGTACCAATATAAGTTTATGGCTATATGATGCTTTGCTTAGGAATAAATTCAGTAATCCATCCCATATATTTACTTCCTGTTCAAAATTATGACCATTCAAAAATTGTCCCTTAAAATGACTATCTATAATTTATAAAGTAACAATAACTGCACACCCTAACCCAAAGGATCAGGATGATGACTCTCCACAATTTCTTCCTGATGAATAGGAGCAATGAAGATTTCTTTTAAAGGAGCAGGGAGGGGTAGGAAAATAAGAAACATTGGTTAGAAATAAGGTAACTGGCTTTAGCATTTATTATCCAGTCTCTGTATGTCTAGAAACCTCAGGGTTTATCTGAAGTTCTGGGATCTGTCTGAAAGGCTAGATGAATCAAGTTTATCGGGAATCAGCCTCATGTTCTGAAGTTGTTTTGAAAGCAAGTCTCTGGAAAGCATCAGGAAGGAGGGAGTTGAAATACCAGGTTGTTTTAGTGTTCCTGCAGACAAATCTTGTTAGAGCTTCAGATTCTGCAATATATGAATCTTACAACCAAAATTATAGTACTATTAAGATATTTGTATGGGTTGTGTAAGGTGCACAGATCAGGGAAGTATGAAATTTTGCTTCTTATTTGAGGAGCTGAAAGACAACTATCCTTTTATACAGCAAACCAATAGTCACCATCAAACTAAATGAAGAGAAACTTGAAGCAATCCCACTAAAATCAGGGACTAGACAAGGCTACCCAGTCTCTCTCTCTCTACCTATTCAATATAGTACCCAAAGTTCTAGCCCGGGCAATTAGACAACAAAAGGAGGTCAAAGGGATACATACTGAAAAGGGAGAAGATACCACTATTTGCAAAATATATGATAGTATACATAAGTGACCCCAAAAATTCCACCAGAGAACTCTTATAGCTGATAAACAAGTTCAGCAAAGAGGTTGGATGTAAAATTAACTCAAACAAATCAGTAGCCTTTCTCTAATCAAAGGACAAACTGGCTGAGAAAGAAATTAGGGAAATGACACCCTTCACAATAGTCACAACTATTATAAAATATCTTTGTGCAACTCCAATCAAGCAAGTGAAAGATCTGTATAGGAATTTAAAGTCTCTGAAAAAGAGATTGAAGAAGTCCTCAGAAGATGTAAAGTTCTCCTGTGTTTATGGATCAGCAGAATTAACATAGTAAAAATGGCCATCTTACAAAAAGCAATCTACAGATTCAATGCAATCTCCAACAAAATTCTCAGTCAATAATTCATAGAGTTAGAAAAACAATTTTCAAATTCATTTAGAATAACAAAAAACCCCAGGATAGCAAGAACTCAACGATAAAAAAAATCTTCTGGGGGAATCACCATACCTGACCTCCTACAGAGCAATAGTGGCAAAAACAGATTGGTATTGGTACAGAGACAGATAGATCAATGGAATAGAATTGCAGACCCTAAATTAAACCCACATACTTATGATCACCTGATCTTTGTCAAAGAAGCCATAACTATTCAGTGGATAAAAGACAGCATATTCAACAAATGGTGCCAGCTCAAGTGGAGGTTGGCATGTAGAAGAATGTAAACTGATCCATTTTAATCTCCTTGCTCAAAGCTCATGTCCAAATGGATCAAAGACCTCCACAAAAAGCCAGATACACTGAATCCCATAGAATAGAAAAGGGAAAGAGCCTCAAACATATTGACATAGGGGAAAATTTCCTGAAGAGAACACCAATGGCGTAGGCTCTAAGACAAATGGAATCTCATAAAATTGAAAGCCTTCTAAAAGGCAATAGACATTGTCAGTAGGACAATATGACAACCTACAGACTGGGAAAAGGCAATCCTCTATGTGATAGAGGGCTAATATCAAAAACATAATAAGGAATCAAGAAGTTAGGCTCCTGAGAAATAAATAATCCTATTAAAAATTCGGTATAGCGCTAAACAGAAAATTCTCAACTGAGGAATCATGACTGGCCTAGAAGCTCCTAAAGAAATGTTAAACATCTTTAGTTATTGGGAAAATGTAAATCAAAATGATCATGAGATTCTACCTCACACCAGTCAGAATGGCTAAGTTCCAAAACTCAGGTGACAGCTGATGATTATGAGGATGTGGAGCAAGGAACACTCTTTCATTGCTTGTGGCATTACAAGCTGTTACAACTACTCTGAAAATCTGTCTGGTGGTTCCTCAGAAAATTGAACACAGTAATACCTGAGGACCCAGCTATGCCACTCCTGTGCATATACTCAAAAGATGCTACAACATACAACAAGGGCACATTCTGCACTATGTTCACAGCAGCAAGTTCTTAGTGTACATATGGGTATTGGAAGTTCAGATTCTGAGGAAGTTATACTAATAAAGAGCTAAAAATGGAGATTTTGCCTCCTTTAGTGACTGCAAAGTGCAGCAGAAATGATGGGAAACCTCTTTAAATCCTAGTGTTACTCTAGTGTCACTTCTTCCGGGAGGACTCAAACTGGATGCAAAAAAAAAAAAAAAAAGGAAAACTTAAAATGATATGCTTTCAATGCCCTGTGTTTGAAGTGCAAAAGAAACAAGAGAATTAAAAGTTAGATACTACACTCCCATTCCTTTTAAACAACTACAAGAATTAAAAACTGCCTGTGCTCAGTATGGACCTACTGCTACATTCTCCATTCACTTGTTAGATGACCTGTCTACTAAAGCTCTTCCATCTGCAGATTGGAAACAGTTAGCTCATATATGTTTCGGAGGAGGAGATTATCTGTTTTTGAAAATAGAATCTTTTGAAAGATGCCAGCAGACAGCAGAGCTAAATGCTAGAGCTGGCAATCAGGTTACTTATGAGATGTTAACAGAAAGTTAACAGGATATACAGACTCTGTTATAATTTAATCCTGGCACTTATGGTCAAATTGGTGCTGCTGCTTGTAGGGCCTGGAATATCTTGCCTAATAAAAGGGATTTGTCTCAAGATATTAAAAAATAAGTCAGGGAATTGATAATCTTTTTTAGGAGTTTGTTGATATGCTGATTAAAGCATCAGGGAGAGTGTTTGGTGATACTAATGCTGGAATGCTTTTAGTAAAACAACTGACTTATGAGAATGCAAACAGCCTCTCATGCTGCCATAAGACTTTATAGAAAGACTGGCACTATTACAGACTAAAATAGATTATGTTCTGAGATTGGTCCCTCTTATGTACAGGGTATGCCCATGGCTGCTGCACTACAGGGAAATGCTATACAAGTTTTGTTTCAAAAGAGTGGAAAAGGAAAAAGAAGGGTTAATAGGCCTCTTGGAAGTTGTTTTGGGTGTGGACACACAGGGCATCTAGGGAGGAATTGTCTGAATAAAACTAAGGAAAATAATGAGAAAAAAAAAACAAGACT